TCATGAGGATTGGATAAGTCTATTTATGCGTAAGATATTGATGTTGGGTGTTTGTTTTTTAAAAATGAAACGAATGAAATAATGGTTTTGATTCATTCAAATGCATGAAGACGGGAAAGAATGAAAATATGGGTACGAACGTCACTAGGACGAATTATTTTTAATGATTGGATATTGAATGCTTAATGTATATAGATTATGTAATACGTTTGTGGTTTACCAAAGTATAATTAAAGAAACAAATAATATGTACTCGTTTAATTGGTATCTTAGTGAAATTGTAAAATTATTCCGGTTGTGTTTTAAATGAAATCAGTTCCAAAGATCTACGAGCCTAACTGGAAGAAAAATTGGTTACTTCAAAGTCTTGCCTGCTCAGTTTGTTTTTGAAATTATACCTATTTTTAATAAGATTACCTCCCCCGCGCTTAGACATTTTATACTGAAAGTTAAATGTATTGTTAAAAAATTGTTTTATGTTAACGTGAAATTTACAAATCAGGGTTTACAACAACAATGTTAAGCATCAGTTCAAGAGTATGTAAACATAATTTCATGTTAAATTCTAATCGAATAACTAATGCGTTCAGTGAATAAATTTAATTCTCGTATTATTATTAGTGGCTTTATTCAATGTTATACATTTTGGTACAATATAGAATTCTCAGCACAAAGTATTTCAACAAGTTTTCTTTTTCTTATTTCTTGATCGACCCTTGCGATAAATATTGACTGATCTCCAGTTAGATGTTATCAGTTCAGGAATAAACATCTGATTAATGTATACTCTTTTCGATGCATATTGCCAGCAACCATGATGTTATTCAACGAAATGTTGTACACTTTTGATAAACGCACCTGAATAGGTTACGCTAATAATAGGCATAATGATATGTTAAAACAAACAAGAAAACGGATGACATGTTGAAATATTCAGATGACAGGAACAGGTAGCCGCCTTGGCTATATATATGTATATATTTAAATTAAAAATGAGCATCAAATAATTTAACATTAGCCATTAACCTGGATTTTTAAGCCTTAATTAAAATTTTAAAACAGGAAAGTAAGAGTTTTATGGAAGATTTTCTTTTCTAGTAAAGCATGATAAATTATACTATAAATGCAAATGGATAACAGCTGTTAAAATGCAGAATTGGTACTCCGAGTTCTTTTTAAATAGTCAATTCTATTGCAACACTGGATCTCAGCAGCATCTATCGCACTGATAGATGCTCGAAAACTCATTCCACCTGGCTCTGAACATAATGAAGAGCGGAGTCAGCTTAAGCGCAAGCTGACAAGAAGTCTACGCAATGATCGCGAACAGTGGTGGGTAGCGAAAGCAAGAGAGATGGAAAAGGCAGCGGCAATAGGTAATAGCAGACAATTGTTTAGACTCGTTAAGGAAACCGGAATTAGGAACCCGACCGTTAGCGAAACAATCTCAGAGAAAGATGGACATATTATTCATTCTCAATCCAGGAGATTGGATCGATGGGCAGAACACTTTAGGGATCAGTTCAACTGGCCTTCAGCCACACTTCGGTTTCCCACGATCTCCAGTCAACCTGAATGGCAAGTTAATGTAAGTCCTCCGTCCCTTTACGAAGTTGAAAAAGCCATAGGAAATCTGAAACGAGGGAGAGCAGCAGGCCCTGACAGGTTTACTCCTGAGATTTTTAAGGATGGTGGTCCAGTATTAGCAATGAGATTAACTGAGGTCTTAGGTAGAATTTGGGAACTGGACGTAATCCCATCTGACTGGTCTCAATCACTGATTGTGCCAGTTTTTAAGAAAGGACAAAAGTCCTCTTGTGATAATCACAGAGGAATCAGTTTGACTAATATAGTGTCTAAAATATTAGCCTCAATAATACTTCGACGCCTAACTAAAGCTCGTGAAGAGCAGACTAGAGAAAACCAGGCTGGTTTTCGACCTGGACGTGGTTGTATCGATCAGATATTCACACTACGTCAGGTTCTAGAACACAGACACACATTCAGACGCCCCACAATGGTAGTATTTCTCGACCTTAAGGCGGCATTCGACTCCGTTGATCGTGAGGTTCTATGGCAGTGTTTGTCACTGAAAGGAGTACCAAAGAAGTACATTAACCTTATAAAGGCTCTCTACTCGAACACAACTGGTAGAGTGAGAGCTTATGGCGAACTGTCATCAGAATTGATTACCTCAAGTGGTGTTCGTCAGGGCTGTCCACTCTCTCCATTCTTGTTCAACTTTGTCATTGACGTACTTTTAGAGATAACACTCTCCTCATCTAAATTTACAGGGGTTGAACTTCTACCAGGAGGTTCACTTGTTGACTTAGAATATGCAGATGACATAGTTTTATTTGGTGAAGACGCTGACAAAATGCAGAGTCTTCTGACCACTCTAAGCAACAATGCAAGCATGTTCGGGATGCGATTCTCTCCCTCGAAATGCAAAATGTTGCTTCAGGATTGGGTTACATCGACACCCGAGCTAGTGATAGGGAGTGAAGTAGTTGAGTGTGTCGACCGCTTCACTTATCTTGGAAGTCTCATCAGCCCTTGTGGTTTGGTGTGTGACGAAATCTCAGCACGGATACAGAAGGCTCGACTAGCTTTTGCCAACCTGCGTCATTTATGGCGTAGGCGAGATATCCGTCTATCAACCAAAGGACGTGTTTACTGCGCAGCAGTTCGTTCCGTCCTACTTTATGGCAGTGAAACATGGCCGGTAAGAGTAGAGGATATCCGTAGGTTACTAGTATTTGATCATAGGTGTCTTCGAAACATTGCTCGTATATCATGGGACCATCGAGTAAGTAACACAGTTGTTAGGAAACGGGTACTAGGTAAGGATGACAAATCAATTGATGACGTAGTGAAACTTCATCAGTTGAGATGGCTGGGACACGTGTTACGTATGCCCAACGACCGACTGCCTCGACGTGCTATGTTCAGTGGTATAGGAGTAGGTTGGAAGAAAGCTAGGGGCGGCCAAACCAAAACATGGCACAAGTCCATGAAGTCACTGACAAGTGAACTGAGTCATGTTGGTAGGTGTAGACTACCTGGTTGGGGACCGCGAGATGACAGCAACCGATGGTTAGAGACCCTGAATGACATGGCTCAAAATCGTTTGCAATGGCGCAGGTGCATCCACTCTCTGTGTTCTCCCAAACTCTAATCTTCTGAATTCTTCATGTCCCATTTTTCCTCTTTCCAAATTTCTTTCACTGGATTATACTCTTTAAATAACATCTCCAAACCCTAATCTTCCCGATTACTGCTTATAATCTTATTACCTCTATCACTACGGGATTTGAATCGACAAGTGCATCTCTGTGCTAATGTGGTGTGGCAACTCGAACTGATGTACGTACGTACGAAGTTCTACGTTGTTACTGACTGACTGACTGTAGTTTTTAAATTTTCTATTCATTACTACTATATATTTTAAGATCAATTATTTTAAAGTCTAATTCACTACACATTTCTTTAGACTGAAGTAGATATCTGTAGCTAATATTTTGTTGTAGTGTAGTTGAAAATTATATACAATTTAACTCAAAGTACGTTGTTTATTAAAAACACTTAAATTGCAATTGACCTTTGATCATCATGTTTATTCCTTGTTCATATTTCTTCACGGAATTAATATTTTACATAAAGATCCCATCGCTGAACTTCGTGTTTTTGATTGATTTACATTTTAAAGAGACGAACATAGTACATTAACTCATTGATCTAATTAAAGTGAACATAGTTCACTAAATGAAATGTGTGTAACCCAAGTCCAGAATGCGCGTTCCTTCCTGTTTGGAACTTATAATCTAGATGTACTTGCATCCTAAAGTTCATATTCATTCCGTGACTTGAACGCAGTACTGTTCGCTTATCCACTTAGTTACTGAGTCCAGATATAAATATGAATGTTTGTTACTCTTTATATAGTAAACTTAAACCATCTGTATATTTTTACAAAATCAAATATTTATAAAATTCCGATCCCAAAGAACATTTAAGCCACAGAAAAGATCTCGAAATAATCCTGTAGAACTGTAAAATCTATTAATCAAACCAGCAATGGATGTACGTGTTATTTTCAACAAACATCATATCGATTTATTCGAATTTATCAAGTCAAGTCTTGATGCTGATAATCGTAACAATAATAGTTTTTCTACAGAGATTTAAAACCTGTCTTGGGATTCATTCACACAGTTACATTACAGATTTATCTATCACCAGTTTTCTATAAGTCGATTATAGTCTGCTTTAATTCTCAGAATAAGGTTTTTATGATAGTACCTAATTGAATAATTTCATGGTCTTATTTAAGGTGTGCGATAATATGTTATTCATTACTGTTAATCAGTATTGAATACTAACTCTGCTTTCCTTCACTAATGTACGAAATTCAAAGAATTTAACATTTATTTAAATAATAAATACACACTCATGAGAATATGGATGATTTATTCTCGTATTCTGAAGAACGTATTCAATTATGATAAACTAAAGTGTAAAGCACATGTAAAAAGTACTTCAGAAATGACCTGATTTTGCTAATACTTTATGGATAGAATATGAAACCAATGAACTATTAATCTAAAAATATTAGTAGTTTTTATAGCTATAATAGTGATATAAACATTTGTTGATTATTAATAATGGTTTTCTTGCAGGTGTAAATGGTTTATTGAAAATAAGTGCATATTAAGTAAGTGTTTGATAGCTCCAGGAATTATAATACTCAAGAAATGAATGGTCAAATCGAAAACTTAATCAGTGACCACTTAAAACTCGACAAAATAACTTATTCAGCTTCACAGTTTTCAAGTATGGTAGACGAATATTTGATTTAGACTTAGAATTAATAAACACAACATTTAGGCTTAATCCTATCATTAAGGACAAATTGTTTTCAATGAGTATCATGGATTTTTATGAAATTTAAACAAACCGTAAATACGTAATTATATTAATCACTATATTCTATTTGTTAGGAAAGTTTACAAAAGTTATTTAAGAATATTCCACCAAATGATGATTTACAATCACTTTCAAGGCATCTGACTGAGTCGATGAAACAAATAAGGTTAGTCTGTTTACTGCACTTATTTTTTTTTAGAAATTCAGTATTAAAAGGGGTTTTGTGGAGATTGTAATAATTTCAGTAGTCGAGATTATGAGTTAATTGAAGCTAGACCTCAATGGAAAACCTGGGAGCACTGGACGACCGTTTCGTCTTATTGTGGGACTCACTGATGACAATGGTGGATGTGTCGCTCAATTTCGTGGATTAGTTTAAATTAGACATTAACACCGTTGGATGCCGGCCAGCACATTTGTCTAGTGGTTAAGCGCTCGCGCGCGAAACTGATAGATTCTGGATCCAAATCCCGCAAGGTACGGTCGTGGATGCGCACTGCCGAGGAGTCCCACAGTAGGACAAAGCGGCCGTTCAGTGCTTCCAAGTTTTCCATGGTGGTCTAGCTTCAACTGACTAATGATCTCAACCACTGGAATTCAGTATCCCAAAGATTTAGAAGATGTAATCTATTTTTATTTTGTTTAATCACTTGAGACAACTTTACACATATATCCTTAAAAATGAGAACAATTAGTTCCAAATTATTTTTTCTGGTTAGTGTTTTTTAGCGAGTTAGTTTTCTACGTGATGAGGTCGCTAACCCCATGCCCAACCCTCCTCTTTTATCTGGGTTTTGGACCGGCAGTAGCCCCAGAAGGGATCCAGGCAGAGTTGAGAACAAATAGTGTTATTACCAATTTGTTTAAAATCAAGAAGAGTGGTTATTCTCACTCAAACATATGAGATGAAATTTCGGTGACTTAATTGGATTCAGTGGCAATCAGATACTGAGAGAGGTTATTCTTTTTAATGAGGAGCTAATAAAGTTTCAAAAATCAGGTCTTGTCAGATGTTACGCTGTCAGCTGTAATCCATTTCATTATAACTTTTCATAGGCTTTCTTCTGTAGTGTTATGTTCCCTGAAGTGAATGATTTAATAGCTAACCTCTTATAGTTATTCAGGACAACAATGCCATCTAATTCATTACTAATCACTCTCTCTCACGATTAAGCTAACACTGTGTTTTAACTGCAGCACTTTAATACTATGAGTAAAAATGGCTGGTACAATTTATTTTATTTGTCTGACCAGAACCAAAGTGTAAATAAAAATCATTATAAGATTTGCCAGGATATCTAGATATTGATTAAGGTATCTATTATCAGAAAGGGGTTTTGTGGATATTATAGTAGTTTAATGGTTGAGTTCATGAGTCAATGGAAGCTAGCCCACCATGGAAAATTGGGAAGCACTAGACGACCGTCTCATCCTAGTGTGAGACCGATAGGTTTTGGGTTCGAATCCTGCAGGGAGAGATCGTGGATATGCACTACTGAGGGGTCCCACACTAGGACGAACCGCCCGTCCAGTGCTTCCAGGTTTTCCATGGTGGTCTAGCTTCAATTGACTCGTGAAATCAACTATTAAATCAAGGTATTTATGTTTAGTCTCATTCTGAATACATGAATAAATGTACGTATGCACATGTGTTTATGTATTTTTCTTGTAAACTTCAAATTTTGTGATTCCTTAAATCACTTGACAAGTATATCTATATATTGCTATAGTGTGCTAATGCTTTTATATTCAGTATTTCGTTAATAAAATTGAATTGTTACGGGGTACTTTTACTGATATACAAATATTACAAACAAAAATTAGATAACAATGTTAAATGAGAGCAAGAGTTTACAGAGAGTATACCTTGAATAGTTTAGTTCACAAAATGTACTTGTTCAAACTAGCTCCAACTAACTACGTCATCAATGTATTTCTAAATTCTACAAACTATGAATTTAGGAATGATACTAATTGTATAGGAGTAATATATCCTTATATTTAATAAATATGAATTTACCAATTTAATCCTTCTATCTATTCACAGATTTTTTTGTAACCAATGGCTGGAAATAATGCGTCACTGCCTAGGTCTTCAGAGACAACGTATTTCATCACCACAAAATGCACACCAGTTACTTCGATACAGAGTATGTTTATGATAAACATATCACTAATTTGACAACTCATTATATTTCTTGTATTGAAGCGAAGTGGACTTCATGGTAGTAGTAAATAAAAATAATATATTTGTAATATCCCGATGAGTAGAAAATTAGATTTTCTGACGTTTCGTGACTTAGTGTAAGTCACTTCTTCAGAGAATAAATAACCAAATTAAAATTAATCCAAGTTTAAGTAGTACAACGGAACAATGCAAGAATAATATTTGATCAATCAAAAAACAGTTCTGAACAAGTTGATGTCATGTCATTTCTGTCAAGGTGATTCATAAGTGATATGTATGTAAATTTGTGTGTATGTATATGTGCATTGTTTGAGAATGAAAACTTGTGTGACCTTTATGGTAAGAAAGGATAGAGTTTAAATTTGTAATATGATAGTATGAAATTGTAAATACTATCAGACTGAATGGTTAGGATAGATGGTCCAAGTAGGATGTATGGTAAGGCCTTCTTTTCTATTGAGAGAAATAGGATTAAGCATTATATGGAACGCCTCAGCTACCCTCCTTTCTTTGTAGTTGGAAAAGCCTTTTCGCAATATTTTGATATTTTTAAAATCAATTTGGTGGTTGTTGAAAATGGCATGAACTGCTATTGCCGATATTAAAAATATCAAAATATTGCGAAAAGGCTTTTCCAACTACAAAGAAAGGAGGGTAGCTGAGGCGTTCCATATAATGCTTAATCCTATTTCTCTCAATAGAAAAGAAGGCCTTACCATACATCCTACTTGGACCATCTATCCTAACCATTCAGTCTGATAGTATTTACAATTTCATACTATCATATTACAAATTTAAACTCTATCCTTTCTTACCATAAAGGTCACACAAGTTTTCATTCTCAAACAATGCACATATACATACACACAAATTTACATACATATCACTTATGAATCACCTTGACAGAAATGACATGACATCAACTTGTTCAGAACTGTTTTTTGATTGATCAAATATTATTCTTGCATTGTTCCGTTGTACTACTTAAACTTGGATTAATTTTAATTTGGTTATTTATTCTCTGAAGAAGTGACTTACACTAAGTCACGAAACGTCAGAAAATCTAATTTTCTACTCATCGGGATATTACAAATATATTATTTTTATTTATAACAATCAACCCAATGCTCAATTTATTCGAAATTATCAAATCAAACCTTCATGCTAGTAGCTTGATTTATATTTGATAACTTAGTTATAAAAATTACACTAATTAATTCAGTAGTTTGATATTTCCAAGTTTAAACAGAATCTTTGTATGTAATGAAGTATTAAGACAGATGAATATACCAAGTACCTTTTAGTATTGAACGATATCCAGTAGAAATTCAATTAAAAGAATCAAAATGTATTAAATGTTCACTGTATATTATAATGTGATAAAAGGAGACCAGATAACATAACTAGAAGACACGTAAACTAAACTCATTTTACACAACCTTTCACTAGTTACATTCAATCACTAAATTTACTTCATAAAATGTGTCGGCTCATTTAAGTTATTGACCAGATCAGAAAGTTGATTGACAAAGTCTGTTCAGCTTTCAAGACTAGATAACACTGACTTTTCACTAGATTATTCCCAAAGAACTACCGTATTTACCCCCATAAAAACTCACTGGAAACTAAACGATCTTCACGAATCTCTTACTTTGATGATAATTAAGTTCTGATTGGTGACTATCTTCAAGGATTTTTAGTGTAAAACTGTGACTGAAATAGTTCATCTATGTTAGAAATGATCTCATTGTATCACGAAATCAATAAAGTTAGAAATGTTGACCATTATTTGTCAATTCAGAGGTACGTGGCTGCAATTTTCACCACAACGTCTAAAGTTACTGGGTTTGATCCACAGAGCAACTAGCCATTCCCACTAACACGAAGTCCTAAACTAAAAAGGAGCAACTTACCTATGTACTTTAGTCCTCATGCTCTTTCAACTCAAGTTATCTCGCGATGAAAGCAGACTTCTATTGGTTATTCTTAAACTTAGATGTTTAAAGTTCCAAAAATTTGATAATCTCAAAAATTGTTCATTGCTGTAAAATGTTTTTCAGAGTCTGGACTATATGACAAAACGATATGGAACATTTACAAGTGTATCATCTACTAACCGAGCAAGTGATTATAACTCATTGGTTCACTCTGATAAACTTATTTTTAACTCATTCGGACAAAAATCGATAAGATTATCGAAGTTCAATTCAGCAAGGAATATCAACAAAATACCTTTTAAAAAAGAATATCCGGATACATTCCTTACAAATGACAAGAATAAAGAGTAAGTGTCACTGAAATAAATTTGGGCTTAAATGATATGTTTGTAAGTAGAAAAAGAAATCATTAGGAATTTGTTAAATAATTGACTGATTTTCTGTACTGTAAATACTTCTCAAGTATTTTACTCATTACATTTAAACTATAAAAAATAGAGGGCAGAATTTATTGTTAAAAGACGGTGACAACTGCATTTTATCAGTTGATTAACTAATCGCTGGCCTTTAATTAGAGGAAATAGCTAACGCTTGGGATTCTGTTTGTACTTAACATTTTTTCAGCTGGATTACTTTATCACTACCAAAACGTTAGCATTAATTGGCCGATATCAATTGAACTGAACCTTTCTGCAATTTCAGAACTAACTGTAAATCAAATGGTGTATACTTGGACTAGTGAAAACAATTGTTTGGAGTTACAAGTTGGCAAAATATAGATGTGAAAGAACAGTGACATTAAGATGAACTATAGAGTAGTGAAGATTTTCAGCTCAAAATAATTTTCGTGGTGCTACGTTCTCTGTGCTGGATGGTTTGATAGTAAAGCTTTCATTGTTTTTCTGAACATCAGCACAAACTTCAGGTAGAAGTGGGGTAATCTTGGTAATGATAACCTTAGTAAATACACATACGCATACGTTTTCAAATTCTACTTTTCAGTAGTACAAAATTATTACACTGTTGTTGCAAACAAAATATTCCTTTCACAGTTATGCTAAGTGTTTATTCGGTAGTTAAAGCGCCATTAATTGATAATTCACGGGTTAGAACCCTGATTCATTTACCCTGGTTTTTGGCAACCGGATAACTATCCTTTACACCAAATGAATTTGCTACTAGACTATCATAATTAGCCATTATCGGGCACTTTTCATAGAATTATGCCCTTAAATTTTTTAATATATGCATGAATGCTCACCGTGATAAGAAGTAACTTGACAGTTGATTCTTTTCCGTAGAATTTCTAGGATTCTGCTATAAAGTATTAAAATCGATTAAAAAATTAAGTGTAAGCTTTCTGGAAGACAAGTCATATTTATTCGGTGAGTACTAGAGGTAATATTTGACAGTTAAAAATGAAGTAGATGAAATATAGCTGTAAATTAATATTTTACACCAAAATCATGGTTAAGACATTTTTGAGCAAATTACATGATTATTATTTGTACTTTTTCGCACTTGACGAAAATAATAACGATGCATATAATTCATTTATAGACCACTTATCATAAGAAATGACAAATCTTCGGAAGCAATACTTATGAATGAAAACTTTACAAGATCATTTGGTACTGAAAACAATAAAAAAATGATGATGACAAAACATTATTCAATTGTTAATGCAACAGATATTTTTCCAGTTGCATGTCCATTGTTACTTCGATCATGGTTGAATGAGATAAAACACTACAAATGTTTTAAACATCTAAACAAACTTAGACAACTAGATGAGACTACATTCGAACACAGTGTTGAACTAAACTATGATGAAAATAAATCACTAGAAACAGCTTTTATGAATGTTTTGATTAATCCATCGAAATTCGACAATCAGTTTTTGTCAACTTTAAGTATGATATCAAATAAAGGCTGTCGATGCAGTCGTCATATACCACCGACTATCACTGACTTAGAATTTGATATATTCTTGAGTAAATTGATACAATCATATCAGGCTGCAGTGATAATCGTTTACGATTCCAGGTAAGACATATTTTCTTAAAAAAAGTATTTCAATGAAACTGACTCAATTTGTACCCGGTATTTACGTTATATATTTATAAAAATCAATGAAAAGTTATCAGATTGAATTAGCCTTTAATTGTATTATTATCGTTAAAGCCTGACTTGTAAGCCGGCTCCCTAACTCCATGATGAACGAATGAGCCATGAACATAAATTACTCGTTTATTTTCGTATACTCCACTTAGACTAATGCCATTTGAGTGACAGCGGTAATGAAAAGCCAAACATTAATTTATTTTGTGTATTCGTTTACTCAGAAACACATTAAGATGAGAGCTAGAGAGGATCGATGCGTCAATTCAATTTAACTAAGACGTGATCTAACATTTACAATTACCAAAGATATAAGCAAGTATATAGACACATCATACTATCAAACGTACATGCTCAAGATCATATATAAGAATGATAAAATGACTGAGAAGGTTAATATAACTCATTAGCCTAAAGGTAAGGGTAAATGATGTAGTCAACAATCTGATTAAATAAAATATTGAGATTACTAAGGTAACTAAATTGATTGAATCAATACCTAGAAGCTTAATCAGATAGAATTACTATTCAATTAATCGAAGATGAATATTTTACGAGAAATTTATAGTATTGTTTATGTGTAAAATATTCAACCTGACTAGTAGCTGCAGGATATGTTCTTGTCAATGAAGTTTTTAGCCTCATATTGACTGACCCAGTGATATCATCACCTTTGAATTTAAGCTGAATAAAAACCTATTTTTATTTGTTGTAGTTTCTCTGGGTTTTTTTTATCTTCACATTCCTCATATTTCTCAATAAAGTCTTGTGAGTATCCGTTATTCTTTAATTATTCATTACTTCCTCTTCTAGTGTATTGATAGTACATATTCTTTCTGTTCTGTGAAATATTTAATTTGTTACAATAATAGACAAGATGAAAATAATTGATTTAGTATTTTAATATAAAACAGATTACTGGCTTTATTTACGTCTAGAGATGAAATTTATTGACAGACGATTTATTATTTGAGTAAATATTAATAAATTTGCATTTATAAAAATGAAATTTAACACATACAAGAATCCGTTTATTTATTTATTTTAACACATAGATATTGGTACAAAGAGGCACCAAATACATATGCGCCATACAGATCTCATTTGATATGTATGAGGGTTGTGATACTGCCCGGGTGCCCGAACCGAAGCAGGTGGTTTTCTTAGGGGGCCACACCCGGAGCCTTCGACCTGAAGGTCTGATCCACAAGGCAGTGGGGCAATGTAAGGAGATGCAGTCCCATGGTAGCCGGTGACCAACAGCTGGTTCATACGCCATTTGTTCCTTCAGGATACTGGAGCCCATGTGCACTATTGGTTTGGGATCAGGGTTTCCTGAATCCCCTATGTGGACTCTCCATGTCCACCAACCCGGTTAAAGCGCTGGACAATAATCCGTGAAATAATAAAATAAATTTTGCTTTGATAAACCACAACAAAATAAATGAAAAGAGTTAGTATATTTAAAGTTATATTTTTCTTTGAATTGTTATGATACTATAAATATTACTATTTGTAATTATAATGATTTATTTACATTTAGGTTGCCAGATGGGATTCATATTGGTATATGTGATCTTCTTTGCCAGTTATATATAAAACAACAAAATACATTACCAACAAGTAGTCGTACTGTGAATGATAAGATTCATATTGTGACTGCAAGTGATCATTTCTCAGAAAAATTACACGATAAATGCAAAATTGCAGGAACTGGAGCATGTGCATCAATATCTACGAGAATGGCAGACTATCGATTCTTGATTTATGATATAGCGCAAAATATAAATAATAATGAAAATAATTCTCAGGAATGCCCATTATTACTAAAAAGATATAATGGACGACCGAAACCGGGTGACTGTTTAATTTTTATTCAGGGGAAACTATGTTTTATCGGGTCATCATTCACAGGCTATGAAGAGTTACCATGGTCAAAAGAACAGTTGGATAAAAAGGTGGCCCAGTGCAGAAACCAATTGACTAAACAAGGGTTTTCAATACCCACTGATTTTCAATTTGTTTAATAAGGAATTTTCTTGATAGTTTTGATTTCAATTAAATGATAATAAGACTTCTGAAAAATAGGTTTAATTGTAGTTTCATTCAATTTATAAACCATTAGAATTGTGAGACAGACATATCATCATGGAATAAGAGCACTACTACTAAAACAAATAGTACTGAATTTATATGAAGATAATCAGTGAAAAAAAGTCAACAATATGTACCTTCACTATTTTGGTGGAGTTTTGTTCTCTGAGCTGGATGGTTTGGTCCAAACCATCCAGCTCAGAGAAACTACCAAAATCATCCACCTGAGCTACAAATCTTCTCCACCATCTCAACTTTCACTATACTGTAGTATTTCAACATCACGAGAAAAAGCTTGATAGGTAAGATCTAACATGTTGTGTACACAACATATTATTGGGAATCAGGTGTATTAATAATTTATTATGTAGGCTATATTCAATTAACTTGGAATATCATGTCAAGTAAACAATTTGTAATTTCCAATTTAATAATAACGCGGTATGCTTAAACAAACTATAAAAGCTACATGTTACACTGTTAAATTAAACTAGCATACCAATTCTTTGCAAATCTTCTGAAAAAGGAATAGATAATCTGAACATGACAACTTTTACAGTTTTAATGCAACCAGACAGGTTGATATTACCCCCTAATAGCATAATTATAAGTTGAATAATAACTGAAATAGGATAGTTAATAGTTTTGTATATATGGTGTTCAGTATTTAAAGAAGAAAAAATATGAATATTTCCAAATCACTGATGCTTTTTTCCGATAATATGTAATATATAACAGATACCAACAAACGGTTCAAATACAGTATTTGTGGCACGTTAATGTTTGACCACTAGACACTGTACTACCCAAGATTTCAATCATCATCCTCATCATTACAATTATGTCAAATTGTCTTTTGCTACCAGCCCACTTTTGAGGATGATGTAAATTGTTATTGATTAATGTATTGATCTTGAAGTGTTATCTGAAATTTGACAAATTCAAAGCATGTATTAAATATTTTTAGTTGTCCTAATCAATATGTTCATAAAACAAACACTTAGTATCATTTCGGTCTAAATGAGATACATCACATTTGTATACTTGAAATAAATTGGTTGATTAACACAAAAACAAGACGGGAAACGAATAGCATCGTCCAGTACTCATATGATGAAGTTGAATAGGAATACTGAAGGTAAGCATTTCCAAAAAACACCATAATTTGTACGTTAACTAAGAAAACAGCTCTTCTTTAGCTTTTCTATTCTTTTTCTTTAAATATTACAAAAAAGGAAGTAACCATATGCATTAAATGAAAAGAATTATCAAAATTAAAATCGTATTTATAAAAAATAACGGTTAACTCGGGAAGTATGAAAGTGGGAATAAATAAAATTGAAAATCAAAAAATAATAAAACACTGGTGATAAAAAAACCTTAAGTAGATGTTTTATCGTTTGGCCATGTTTTATAGTTTATTGATACAACATCACGTATATATGTTGGGTAAGTAGTTGCAAAAAAGTCAATAAGTGTGATGTTAATACCATCTGGTCCAGCTAACTGATCTGCTTTATTTAACCATTGTTGATAATACTTTCCAGCTATTTTAGCTAAACGATGAACTGAACTAAATGGATGCAGTAAAATGAATGATAAAGTTGGAGTAAGAATACCTTGGTGTACAGAGAAAATATTATCAGGTCTATGAAGATGTGGTCTGAAATGAAACAATCAGAAACGATAAAGGTAGCAGTTAGACATTTCCGTCGAAATTAAGTAAGGTATTTTAGAGCCGAAAAAACTAGCGAACAATATCTCTAACGTATAGCTGATAAACAGATTCATAGCTCTCATTGAATTTTATTTCTATTTTTTTATAGTCAATCTGATGATTCGCTTAACAGCTGTTTATGAATTTCGTGCACTGTACGCTCGGATACTAAATACAACATCAAGTCTGTTTGACAAGTGAAGTGAAACATTCAGTTTAGTATATTCAGATTCGCTTGAAAATGTCTGAAAAGATCCGCAGAACCATTCGATATCAGTGGTAATTAGAGTATCCCGTTAATTAGAGTATTCATTAGTAAAAGTTAAATAACCAATCGTAGTATATTTTGGTTTAAGTTGTAGAATCTCAGAAACTTTTGACTAAAAACCACATATCTTCTTAATCTGTAGTAAACGAGAACACAGGCTGTGACTACTAAATGTATTTTAATGCAACATTACAGAATATCTTGGTAAAATCTGAGAACCATGCAGTAAATACTTCATTTGAAAAATGTCAATCAGTTGTCACAGATTTCATTGTTCCTTCGTTTCCGTACCAACCACTCTGTGTTCTCGTTCTCTTCTCTTCGATCTTTTTAACCTTCTGCCGCCAGGCATTTCACTCTCGATTAGTGATACTTACTACTTATATATGTTGATATCAGTAGCAAACACCACAGATCTACTTTGATTTAAATGAACAGGTAGTGTAGTTCCTCCGATGCACATAACAGGCTTATTTTATAGACTGGTACTTGATGATCCTCTATGCTGATGGTTTTTAACAAGCAACATTGCCAACTTTAACATTGATAGCTTAATATAGCATCTTAGTATTCCATATATGTGTTAATCCTAAGATATTTACGTTATCTTGTGTGACGGTATGTTCTCAAAATTTACCAACTTGCATAAAAAACAAAAACAAACTGCAAAAAATAAAGACAGTAATGTTTCTTATTGCCAGGTCGGGAAAACTACATAGTTTAGGATACATATAAAAAAGCCGATCTTAGTTCTAATTTTTTCGCGGTAGGAAACAAGAAAACAATGGATCTTCAATAGTTATTATTCATAGTAATCTCTCAAATAAGAGTAACAAAGAAAAATAAACCAATCAGGACAAACAAGATATTTGTAAATAAAATAGAAAATTACAACAGCAGTAAAAGATGAATAAACCTTACTTAATATGGTTATTTAGGAATGAAATCATAGCTCGTGGACCAACAGTTTCCGGCCAAAATGATTTTATGCTACTAGAAGGCCAAAATTTTGGGTGGATCTTCTCGGGGGATTCTCGATGACAGGATATAAATATGATTTGTTGCTTAGCACTCCAAAGTTCTTCTAATGTTGGAATATTTTTTTGATAAGGGAACATAACATTATCTAAAATCTGAAATAAATGAGTGGAAGAAAACACATTAAGGCAATAAGAAAATGAATGGTGGTAATGCAGTTTACTAAAGGATTACATATTTACACAGTGAGGCTTCAACCAAACCGTGTGAAAACCGAAGATTTCCACGTTCAAGTTAGTAAACCACTGAGGCAAATTTCCAATATAAGACCGTAATCCTTGGCAATACCTTTAGTATATAAAGCCTGAAATTGTTGATTGCCAGAAGATTGCCCGTAATAAAAGTGTTTGACCTCTCAACATATGCCTGTTGCAAAGGTAACTATGACTCCAAATTATAGACTGACAATAGCAGTTAATTAGAGCTGATTTACGTTTGAGCACGAGAGTACTCAATATTTACATATTGTGCCAAAAAGAGAAACATGTTTACACAAATTGAACTCGACTATCCCCAATTTTATTTATCTCTCGGAAACACTTATACAAGATTCACACAAACAATATGACAAAAGTTAAATCATCAAGAAATCAATGCCCAACACAGTCAAAATTATCCCTGTGAGTTACAAATCTGACACTATTTCCTATAGATTTTTTGAAAGAAAGAGATTCAAAGTAAAATAACAAACTATAGACAGGTAAATTCAATAAATTTAGAATTAAGTCATTGTTTAAATGGGAAGTTAACTACATGGAATAGAAACGGCAATGACTGAAATGAGAAGTCAATTAAGTCGGTGGTGCACTACTATAAGTTCTCAAGTTCTTTTTCAGATTTATTATCCACATTGGCTGAGGTAGTAGTTATGTAAGTTATATTTACGATTATCTTGGTCGATTATTGTTCTATTAAAAAAGCAGTGAACTACCCATTTTTACAACAAAGTAAGTTTATAATCGATATCACATGCTTAGGATTCATAAACGCTGAAATCATAATCAGTAATTCATAAAGGGTTATGAGATTGGGTATGTGTTTGATAGATTATTGGACCGATATTCAACCTCCACTCAGACGCTGATGACGACACTTAACCTTACTCTGGAAGAGAGCTTAGCTTTCTGTTGAGCACCAAATAAGTATATCATTTTGTTGAACACTCGATATATAAAATTTTATGAGGATGAGAGGTTTTGTGGAAAGGTGATTAGTTAGTGCAACATACGTTATGAATGTGCTATCGGAAAAGGCTTTTGTTTTTATTTTTAATGTACAAACTGTTTAGTCAACTTTATACGGAAATAAATATGGTCCTACGACAAAAAGACGCAGTAATTATGACATTGTAAACAATCACTATTAAATCTACAATATATGATGACCGGCAAAAATCAACTGGGTGGCTTTTATCTTACAACCAGATTTAATCTGTTTCATAAACTTTAGTACATAGTAGTGTGATATAATACGTGTACAACTGAATCGTTTTGGAAAAACAAGCATGTATTGCACGAAATTGTTATCCGATTCATGTTCAATATTTCGTAGTTTCATTGACAGTTGTATCGATGGGTGATCTGTTGGAAGTTTTGGCCAGTTGAAATTAATTTGCAACATAAAATAGTTGTGCGTACACGGTTTGATCGTGTAAGTTTATTTACTGATTAGTTCAAATTTATTTAACAACTTAGTAGAAGGGTTCGTGTTTGACCAATATGTTGTATATTACTCTGTTATACTACTAAACTACCTGTTCCTACCTTTAAAACAGTTGATTCAAAACAATATTCCTGTTCATCAGTTTCAAAATTATAAAAATGATTACAATCCACAATAAGAACTTCTCTCGGATTGGCTTTGAGGAAACCAAGAATGCTCTGAAGTTCTGTAGATAACAGGTTTGCGTACAGTCCGTGTGCTAAATAAAATTCAGATTCATCATTTTTACATTTGTTCAAACATTTTTGTCGTGCACAAATACGAAAGTCAAAATATCGAATCCCAGCTTCCAGTTGATCGAATAAACTTAGTGACTGTGTCACACTCCAAGGATACAATATTCGGCTTAAAAATGAACGAGGTAAACATGTATCCAAACGAAAAATAGGACCATCAGGAGAAGGAGGACTATGTTGAGTAATCGAATACGTAAATGAATTATGACTACCTAAGGACACAAGATAACCGAGGCAATTTAAATTAAACAGGAATCAATATGGGTGCTGGTACCAAAGAATACCAAAAAACACAATAAACCTCCGTAAGGAAATCAAGTGTATTAAATCAAACTATAAACAATATGTTACTTTTAGAAAGCAATTTACTCTGAATTTTAATAGGATATTCTGTCTCTAGGCAGTTTTAATTAATTGTTTTAGCTAAACGGCAACTTCAAAATTATTCTAGAGTGCATGGTCCGTTACTCAAGTGCTGCTATGTTGTTGCCAAATGTTTCAATAATCTCGTTTCCATTTAACAAAATTGAAAAATATCCAACATTTAGGAATAAGTTATGTAAAGAAACTCATGGTACAGATATTGATTAATATCCAGGCAAAATAACATATAAACACGGCTGATTTCATTTGATGCAAAAAGCTCAGTCAAAACAGTTAAATTTTGATACCTTGTGTAGACTAATTTATCTTTCACCTATTAATTCGGTCATTAATTTTTAACTGACCAGAAGGAATGGCATTTAAAGATAGTGTTTAGAAGGTAACTTTGTCACCAATATCGAATGCTTTGTGAAGAAGTAGGTTATAATACTCTAGTCATACCCCTGTTTACACTAATCCTAACTTGCGTCTCAGTGGCCAACAAATTCATCATCCTAAACAGATCGATGTCACCAAATTGGTTGCAACTTCTGTTGCAACTGAGTATCAAACCGAGCTAGGTTCAAGGCTAGCTACCGTCCCACCGAAAAGTATAGATGAGCATCGGCCGCAATTGCATGACGCCATGAAAATGGCGAGCGAAGTCCCTTGTGGATTCGCGACACGTTCCACTTATTAGCACTGTGTTTCTTTAGGCTCTTTACAACTTATTGGAGCCCTACGGTCTACTCCGGTTGACCGAGTGTTTGACCACAAACGAAGACTGTTGCGTAATGAAATTGTGAAAAGCTTGTGTAAGGACCGATAAGCCGGGTGGTCTAAGCATGTTAACGAGTTGGAAGTGACCGTTGCATCTGGTAACTGCCGGAAGCTTTTTCAGCTCATCCGACTCACTGGCAGAAAGAAGTCTGGTGTGCGTGAAACAATCTGTGAAGATGAAGGGATGCCAATTACTAACATCTACCGACGTCTTGGACGATGGACAGTTTTTCGAGGAACAGTTCAACTGGTCTGCTGCCCCAGTGACATCGATCAGACTGTCCTGTACTCCATGGCCCCTGACGACTGATCCTCTTAACGAGGCGGGCCCGCAAGGAACTCCAACTCTTGAAGCGCAACAATTGCCAGGCCCAGATGACTTGCCTCCGGAGTTTTTAAAGATGGTGACGACTTTTTGGCTATGGAACTGACTGAGTTGTTTAAAAATGTCTGGCAATTACAGTGTTTCAACATCGTGGAATGAGTCGACAGTTATCTCTACCTTTAAAAAGGGTTCATGTCATCTAGCAAAAACTATCGGGAGATATGTCTACTTCCTGTTGCATCCGAACTATAGGTTTTCATCATACTCCGTAGATTGTTTGAAACCCAAGAAAGATTGACTCGTCAGAAGTAGGCTGGTTTCCATTCTGGTTTACGACACATCAATCATAGCTTCACCCTCCGCCAAATGTATAAGCACTTCCAAACTTATCGCAGGCCAACAATCGTAGTTTTTCTTGACATTAGGGCCGCCTTCGATTCGTTGGACATAACTGTTCTCTGGGATTACCTGTTAAAGAATGGTGAGCCTGAGAGGTTTATTAACATCTTGAAGACTCTATATACAAACATCTCAGGCAAAGTGAGGGCATACAATCACCTTTCTCCACTGTTGCATTCAAACAGTGGCGTTCGACAGGGTTGCCCAATCCCACCATCCCTCCTCGACTTTGCCATCGATGACATTCTGGAAACAGCTCTGATGGATGTAAGTAATGGTGGTGTGGATCTGTTGCCTGGAGAAACACTTCTCGACCTTGGGTATGTGGATGGTTTTGTCTTACTGTGCAATAATACTCAAGCCATGCAATCCGCACTTAATCAGTTGGCAATTAGTTTCCGTAGGTATGATATGTGCTTTGCACCTTCTAAGTGTAAATTAGTTTTACAAGACTGGCAGGACCCTGATGCTATACTCACTCTGGGTAGTGAGCAGATAGAAGTAGTCGAGAAGTTCGTGTATCTAGGTAGCTGCATAAGTGCTGTTGGTGAGACCAATTCACGTATACTGAAATCCAGAGTGAATTATGCCGATCTGGGCCATCTTTGTGATGTTAGTCTGGTTGTTAAAGGTTGGATCTACACTGCGTCAGTGAGAGCAGTTTCGCTCTACGCTTGTGAAACCTGGCCTCTCTGAGTTGAGGATGTTAGGCGACTCTCTGTGTTTGATCATCGTTGTCTCCGAAGGATTGCTGACATCTATTTGCAACACCATGTTAGTAATGCAGAAGTTCGGCATCGTGTGTTCGGGCTCAGAGACGGTAATTCAGTTGGTGTCACCATCTTGAAACATCGACTTCGGTGGCTTGCACATGTTCTACGAATGTCGTCCCACAGAATTCCTCGTCGTGCATTATTTTCCGACGCTGGGTTTGGTTGGAAAAAGTGGAGAGGTGGTCAGTGAATGACATGGTATCGTGGCAAAGGGCTGTCTTCTGTTGATCCTTCACGACTTTTTGGTTGAGGTCCCAGAGATGGTGCAACACAGTGGCTAGAGACGTTATCAGATATGGTTCAGAATAGAAGCTAGTGACGATCCTGCCGTAACTTCCTTTTACTTTCTTTATAAAAGAAAGAATACTTTCTTTAACAGAAAGAAAGACATGAGCATTTAAGTCTCCAGCTAGTATCACAATATCTGTCGAACGCACATACTATAGAAGAACAGTTAACTGGTTGTAAAACCCATCCTCGATTGCATGTGGGCTGCAATCTGTCGAAGCGTATGCGGAGATGATGAAAAGATATCGTCTATCACACCGATTTATTCTTACTTTGATGGAACTTTCTAGTCTAACAGCAAGTAACCCATTGTTATTGAGGATCCAATCGATCAGTACTGCCTCAGCTCTGGTGGATCACCAACGCCAGTAAAACCAGATGAGGATGCTATAGGGTCCCCGGACAAACGCACGTGAAGCAAGCCTTTCAAAGCAACAGGTGATTAAAATTGTAGTACTTCACTAGAATCTTGAATACGAGTCTCGGATAGACAACAGACACGATATTAAGAAGTTCTGAAGACATAGCCAACCCTATCTGTTGTCGGATCTGAATTAGTGTGCGAACATTGAAGGGGACCAGTTTGAATGGTATACATGGTTTCAGAAAGACGTTTTTAGTGTTCGTAGTCGGTGGTAGAATTCAACTTTCGGCCAGTCAGTGACTTGAGATCGTTTAGATAAGACAGGGTTTCTATCATAGCCAAGCTGCTGTGTAAATTGAAAAATAAAATACGCGAAATGAGAATTGAGAGGAATAAATAGGTGACGCAGCATAAAAAAATAAAAGCGGATGTTGTCATATGATTGTGAATAAGATTTGTCTGAGTGAGCGTTGAAGCAAGAGAAATTTTTTCAGTAATAGTTATCACTGGTCTGTGTGAGGGCCGTGATAATTTTTGGGCGCACAAACTGAAATAGGCGATTTCCTTGGGGGAGCCACACCCCGAGACTTTGACCTAGAGATTCAGTCCACAAGGCAATGGAGCAATGTTAGAAGATTCAGTCCCATGGTATCCGGTGATCAACAATAGGTTCATACGCCATTTGTCGCCTCAGGATCCTGAAGCCCATGTACACCATTGGTTTGGAATAAGTTTTTTCCAACTCCCCTAGGTGGATCCACCGTATCCACCATCCCGGTCAAAGCGCTGGACATTTGCATTTTGTCCTCTCAATGTCGTGAACAACACCCCCATCGCTATAAGGTAGTGAGTAGGACTTCCCGTGGCAGTGATTGTATACACGTGGCCATGTGAGAGCATTTCGAGGTGAGCGGACTCTCCTCACCCTTCTGCGTACCAGGGCTTTTGGGGGCAAAAATGGGATTGAAAGTGAACGTACATTAAATTCAAAGGATCTAAAACGAACTTCTGTTTAAAAACTGATGGTAATGAGGTTGAGAGCCAATATCAAATCAGTGGCTTCGGATTTACGTAGTCCTTTACGAATTAAATGTTAATATCGCTTCCAATAATTTTGTTTTTATATAAGATTTTCTTTTACCTTGTCAGTAAATTGGACAAGCTTTGGTCTGCAGTTATTTGTATTAAACAACTTAGTACAGTTTATTGAATTCACATATTTAAGATGAGTTTTATAATACTCTTAATTCTATGGCTGACCGTAATGTACGCCGTCAGCTTACAATGAAAGGTAACTAAAACAACCGACTGATTGAAAGTAGTTTATAACAATAATATCTTAGGGAACCTTCAGAATGTGTTAAAAATTCATTTTCAAAACACTGAACTACAGATAAATTAGTAAACTATTGAAATAAAAACCACATCCAAATCTACAAAATTGAGACCTAACTGAATGAAAATGAAATTTATGTACTCAATTGAGTGAAACTATAATTTGATAGGTTAGCGCATTTAATTTGAACCACTAAACCCTAGGTTTGATCCCCATTACAACTTCGTATAAAAACTCTCATACAAGAGCCTCTACTTGATAACTAAGACCATATTATGAGGAAAATGGAGGTTTATTTAGGTCACCTAACGGATCGCTATAATCCACTGATCAAGGTTGCTCTAAAGCATACTAATAGTTCATATCGCTTAAATACATTTGGAAAATTTACTTGAAACACTGGGCTATCGGCCAATTATTATTTTTCGATTTTCACTCTGTTTCCATAAGACTAGTGTTTTTGGTACCTTATAAGAGAACAACTGAAAAGCCCGATCTCGAACCCGAAAAACCCATATTAGAAGCACTTTAAATGCAAGTGACAATAATGCAGAACAATATAACAAAAGTGTAAAGCACTAATTGGCGTGGAAAGATACATCAACTTGTAGATAATCACTTAGACTTTTCTGTAAGTTATTAGAGTAGGATTCAATGACATGAGAAATCAATGTAAAATATAGAGTGACAAACCTGGAATGCTTATCAGATTAAGGGCCTTCTGTGATATATGAGAGGGAAGGTCAGACATCCACGAACGTGGGTTAATCATCATTCATCTACATCTGTACAAATCACTATTAGTAACTAGTAATATCTTACCGTTTGTTAGTTGGCATTATATTAATATGTGCTCTGAAACGTGAAAATAATTACGTTAAGAAAAGACAGTAAGTTTCAGTTGGATAATCCAGTAGAGATCCTGCGGCATGAAAACTAAATATGTTTGGAATCCTAGAGAATACTATCTTTAAGAGAAACATATTACACAAACAGGGATACAGTGCTTGCATAGTTCTAACTTCAAACCTTAGACATTGTGAGGAACATTTCCCTCAAACTGCCCCAGAAAGTCATAGAAAGAATGTTAAGCTAATAAAAACTGCCAAAAAAATAGTCACCGGCCTTACTGAGAACACTCACTAAAGAACATATCCCCACAAAACTTACACTGATCAAGCCATTATAAGCAGTGCAACAATAGTGGAAAGATTTAGATTTTGCATTTAAAAGCATCATAACATAAGACAAACAACAAAAATAATACAAGAAGGGTTAAAAACCGCCGGAGGAGTTATTTGTGGGAAAAGCAAGTCGACATTTAAATAGGGACAGTAGCAAAATTTATTACGCCACTGAAGACGGCATATAACACTTAGAATCGTTTGACCAGACACGAACTGCTACAATTTATTCAAGTCAGTTAGCTCGTTTCAATTGCCAGATCATCTTATACTCATAAATTCTTCACATTTTACCTTTCTAGTTGCTAACTCTCTTAAGTGTAAGTATATCTTGTGAGCTAAGTGAATTGTTGGTTGTTTTGCTTTTACTCTTTTCTACTTATCATTCATATTACTCTGCACTACATCCCTGTATACAATGTATCTTCACACTAGATTGAAGCCTACATAAATATATCACAGCCTCAATGTATAGTTTTATTTGAATGCTTCAGAACAAATGTGTGACGTCCGATTAAGATAAATTATGATTGGTCGGTTGTGTCTACTTGTTATATATTTCGTCCAAGGACAAAAATAAATAAACACCCGTCTACAGCTTTGTTCAATTAGTTTTTTAAGAAAAAGGATATTTTCGTGTCTTTTTTCTGCTTTTAAAAGTATATAAGGACAAAATCTTTTTATGTACATACAACAGGACATTTATCAGTGTATATTGACTAGTCATGTCACTGTTGAATTTGGAGTTGGTATTTTAGGATAAGCGATCTCCGAGAATTAAGGAAATTCTGAAAAAAAAATTAAAAGTAACATGATAATTGGTAGTCTTCCACAAAGTCTGGGGAAATATTGGGGAAAACCAAAATTTCCTCCTAACGTTGTTAGGATTTTCGCAAAATAACTCGGAATTTCGTGGATAAACCCCAGACCAGTTAAAACTTTTGAATATTTGTTGCACTTCCTAATAATTTTTATTGCAGCTACCCCAAAATTTCGACTCTTAAACTTATATGTGACCGTATTATGCCCGGTCCAATTTGATTTTTAAAGCATGAGTAGAGGTTTCTTTATTAATAACAGAAGCATTTTCGTATAAGTTGCTGTAAAAAAACTAATACCTCACCATACCTATTAAGCTTGTTCCAACGTCTCAAAAGAGCACCGGTTTGTCATGTGCTTATTGGCTAACACGTAAGGACTTAAGGTCATTCAAAGTTCAACTGAAATAGCGAACCGCTTGGTGCGTAGGATCTACGTCTAGGTAGTTGGAGTGTAATTCTAGTTACCTGGAAGTGTGGTTCTTGTTTTATTTCTTTCAGAAACTGAAGGACGGAATAAAAGTATCGATTTGTGAGTAGCTCTCGCCGAAATAATCCGGCAGGAGTTTGCATTTCTTACCGTCAAGACGCTCGTTAACACCCCTTCGCTAGCGAATTACCTGGCTAAATAGTATCGTAACAGCATTGTCAGTTAGATGTTCTCTTGGTGATTCTCAAATGGGATCTTGCTTTTGTGTGGATATGTTTTTGCTTTCGATGTCCTGTTACAGGTCGGGGTTGAAGTGTATAAATTGTAGTAACCAAATTAAACATCAGTTTGCGAAGTGAAACAGAACTTCGCCGTTGAATCGATACTCAGGATAGACATGGATGGCATCGACTCTTAGATGAAGATTACCGCATTTTTTCTATCTGTTGTAGCGGTAAATAAACCACCCACAAACTAACGAATTTGTAGAACGCTTTCGCCGACAGCTCAAAGCTTTCCTATCAGCTGCAAACGTTTCACAGTGGACCGACGCCCTTCCACTCGCTTTACTTGGCATTCACAATGCAGCGAAAGCTGACATAGCCCAACTCATTTATGGAACAACACTTCGACTGCCGGCAAAATTCGTAGATCTTTCATCTTCGTCAACGAATATGGATCCAGACCTCTAAACGAGCAGACTTACGAACACGATGCGTTTGGTTAAACCTGTTCCCGCTCGAATGCAGTTAACTGGTGTTTTCGTTCAACCTGACGTACAATATAGTACACACTTCCTTGTACGTCGAAACTCATATGCATGACCACTCGAATCGACAAACGGAAGACCCTTCAAAGTTCTTCAGCGTGAATCTAAGCACTATAAAATCCATGAGAACAGAGGTAACGATGGCATCAGCATGGATTGCACCAACTCAGCCTATTTAGAAAGAATCCTTAATCGGTTCAATTTTCCTCCGGTACAGTTGAAAGACACGACTTCTACACTTATGATACCTCATCCGATAGCCAACGCTCAAGACTCTAATTTGGAAGTATCTAAAAATAGACTAAAAACAATGCGTTACGGAAAAGGAGTAAGGTTTCTAGAACATTTAAACAATTGTTGAACGTGAGACACTAATTAACATTTTGTTTCGTCTCGATTTTTCTTTGTATTATAGTAATCAGACCAATTTTAATATGCTTATATTTATGTACTATCGCATTTATATGAGTATTTTCCTTTTTCACCCGTTCTGGGTTTTTACGTACGTGCGAGTGTGATTCGACATGCACTTACATATCCTTTTTACCAGGACGGCTGGGAAAGAAGAAAAAAGAACGACGAAGTTCACGGTGAACCGAAATTTTCATTGTACCTGTTTCTCTACTATTATATTGTACCACATGTCGTCTTATAGTAAGAAAAGACGACCAGACGCTGCTGAACAGTACAAGCTATCAGAAGAGTGTTTACCAAAGACAAACTTGTTGGGTTTAAACTTCTGGCTGGTCACGTCTTAGGGTCATCATCACCCCATTAGGAGGGGAGTGATCTGTAGCGGTAAATAAATCACTAAAATCAATTGCTTATCAAATGTATCTTCGAACCTCCCCGCTTATGACTTCTGAAATCACCAGGTGGGCACTATTCATAGTATAAGGTGCAACGACCGAAGTACCAGTATTCGGTTTGAACGCAGGACTGACGAACCAAAATTTATTCGAATAGGCCAGACTGCGTTCTTCTGTATAGCTTACAAAGAGTTTTTGAAACACTCGTATTAAATTATATCAAATTACAAACTCTGTGCTCAACTTAAACGGTTCTCTTAGAGAATAGAACAAATCATATCGAAATACAAAATACCTCAAACGGTACAGCCTGTGCTATGCAGTCAGAATTTTAAGTAGCGCGCTAAACAATAAAAGAAACAGTTAATGTCAAAGGGTTCGATACCTGAGAATCAATAAAAATGATCCCAAAAACATGGGATCACATATCTATCTGCAGGGATTCTAGCAATCTTCCCAAGCAGACAGTTAAAGGGTCAACATTCACACAGTGAGTCACGCCGTGACCTTGAGCATAGTGAAACACGACCTTACTGTCAATAGTCCGGTAACATGCAATAGAAGATTAAGTAACAAAAGATAAGTCTTTAATCAAAACCACATAATAAAGGCTCAGCCGAGAAATAAGAACATAAAGTAAGGTCAAAAGAGATCTGAACAAATGCTAAAATACACGACCTGGGGGACAAACGAGTAAATGACAGTACTGTCCAACAAAAATGCAGTGGAGGGATTTTAACGTTCTCTTTACTGCTCAAAGAGTTAGAAAACTCAAAATAACTGCGGCATCTTCAGTGAGATAAATTATTAGAATAAATATGGTCAACATGAAGTGTGAGAGTGTAGTATTCTCACAGAACGTGATTAGACATGCAATATTGTAAACCGATATCCATCAATTAGTAATGTGGCCTCTAATATGTGGTTAGTGCAAATGAACGAATTTTCTGGGACTTAAATATCCCTTCAGATAATATTATGTATTTCCCCGTCCAGCGAAGGCGTTAATAAACCGAGTTATCATTGGCTGCAACTACCCAATTGATAAACAGATGGGCGTTTCGTAATACGGAGCTGATGTACTGCGCGCAAGTTATCGCGGCAGTACGCTATCCAAATACTGCTAGCTTTGCTTATCAGTAATGTGACTGATTTCTCCGGGTAGCTTTAGTATACATTGTCAGGTTGTCACATCTGGCATCTCACAAACTTTTCGTAAGCATCTACGCCCTTCAGCAATATCGATCTACTTAACCGTACTGCTGAGATTTAGGGATTATTAAGTGATTTATTAAGACATTGTTAGTACGAAAATTCTATCGCACGTCATCCTGAAATGTGTACGTATAATCCAGCTTCCCATATATTTGTCTGAGTATCTGTAAAAATAAGGGAGTCATACATTTTACTTGTAACAGCACTAACCCGTACAATTATGTTGTCTTACAGCCGTCAGCTGCACGACATTTTTACAGAAGTAGGTGGCAAAAAATGTGCCTAATTTGTACGTGAACGTCCTAAGTACATATCATATACAATTATCCGAATTATTACTTACTTACACACTAGAGAACTCTTTTAATTCATCCAATAACAAGAACATCGTCTACCAAAAGATGTCGAATAGGTGGTCGAAATACTTTTCGAAGCATGTAACCCAATCTAATAACAAAACGGATGAAGAAAAATTATGCTAATCAAATATACTAACCCACATACTACAAGCCATAAGTCAATAATTCAGAAGTTCGACACAGAAAATTTC